AGTACACCTCCCATCTGGAACATAACATGTGAGCTATCCTCAGCCAGCACCCACAATTTATGCAGAGCAGAATAGGATGACCTTTTCTACATAGTTTTTCAAGAGCCTGCATAGTTCTTCCTGATCATCTCCAATAGTTCTGCACTCTCATTCTCTTCCATCACTGTTTACAATTCCTCTAATGTGCCAAACACACTGTTATGCCTGTGTACATGCTGTTCCCACTGCCTGAAATGACCTTCCTTTCTCCATCCTCCTATCCAACTGCTACTCCTCCAACGCTTACTCTTTCTTGCCATTATTTGTTGAGACAAGATCTCCCTATGAAGCCCAGCTGGTCTCAAACTCTGATCTCCCTTATCTCAGCTTCTTAAATTGTTGGGATTATATGTGTACTTCTTCTCCTGCCTCCTTCTCATTCTTTTTTTAAGATTTTTATTGTATTTTAATGTAAAGATGATATACAGAGGGGTTACAGTTACATAAGTAAGGTAATGAGTATGTTTCTTGTTGAACATTGTTAACCGCCTCCTTTGTTTTTCTCACTTTCTGCTCAGTCTTAGAGATCAACTTCAACATTATCCTCTTGGCAAAGACCTCTGCTGGTGTCCTCTTTCCTAAAGCTGACTTGGTTACTCTTTTCTACCTTCAATTTCTTTCCCCAAGTCCTCCTCTCCATCTTCTCTCCTGGATTGCAAGCTCCCTGGGGACAAAGACCAGCAGGGTGGATTGCTCTGCATATAGAGCTAGGCCAAGGGTTGGGGATCTTGGCTTATCATGAATGTTATTTTACACAGCAACTATGATCCCTTCCTGCATTTCTGTGACCACATGCGAACTTCCCCAAGCTCATCTTCATCAACATCTTCAGGCTGGCCCCCGACTCCCACCCCCGGCCCACAGGGCTTTCCTTTATTCTAGACTGTTTTAAGCATAGACTACCTCTATCTGGTTCTAGAGTCAACTTCTTCTCTCCCCTACCTTTAAGATAATTACATTCTTTAGTCACCCAGGAATAACTTCTAACCAAGGACTGGGATAGAAAAGACATCCTGGAGGAAAAGGGGGTTGGTGGTGCTTAGAGTGGGAGTCCAATCTGGAAGTTGGACCATGACCATATGAAAATGCCATTGTAGCCCAGAAGCCACAGCAATGGTTCTATAAGGAGGCAACCTCTTCTCTTTCAGGACAAAGCTTCCTTCGGCTCACTATAAAGTCCCTCATCTCCCTCCCTGCCAGCAATGCTCTTCAATGGAGCCAGGGCTCCTGGATCAGCTCAAGAGGCTTTGTTGGTTTAGTTCCACTACAAAGCTTCTGCTCCTGCCCTAGCTGTTACAGCCTACAGATTCCTGGTACCAATCTGATTGAACAACTTAATTAAAATGCAATAAAAGGAAAGTGGGCCAGATATGGCCTGCGGCAGACTAAGCTGAGAAGTCTGAGTCCACTGCCCCCTCTTGAGCCCTGAGCCCTTTCCCATATGACCAAAAGGCCCTGACCATAAAGCTTGGAGCTTTAGCACTGGATTCAGAGGCTTTTACAGGTTATTTATTCCAGGAACTCATTTCTCCCAACAGTGAGGCACCTAAGTGAATGTCAAGTTCAGATGAGACTCAGATCTCCCCAAGATGCCCAGTCTCTAGAACTCAGGACACACCATTATCCAGGGAGGAGAAAAAGAGTTTGAAAACACCCAACCTCAGACTCTTGAGATATTTTTACTTTATTTTTTTGTTAGTACTGTTTGAACTCAGGGCTTTATGCTTCACAGGCAAATGCTCTTTAAAAAAATCAGTTTGGTGGGTTTTTTTTTCAGATCACCGTTTATGGAAATATAATTCACATATAATTCACATACAATTCATCTAGTTAAAATGGTGATTTTATTCTGGTGTGTTCAGAGTTGTGTAATCATCACTATTGTAGCATTTACTATTCAAACAAAAAATGCAGTAAGAATCCTTGATTTTTAATCTCCACTCCCCCTTCCCATTCTGCCTAATTATTGGCAATTATTAACCTACTTTCTGCTTCTGCAGATTTGCCTGTTCCATAAATTTCACAAAAATGGAGTCATATGACATCTATCCTCTTATGATTATATCTGTGTTAAATGTTTTTAAAATTGAGCCATAAGCCAGGCGCCGGTGGCTCACATCTGTAATCTTAACTGAGATCTGAGGGTCTAGATTCAAAGCCAGTCTAGGCAGAAAAGTCCTTGTGAGACTCTTATCTCCAATAAACCACTCAAAAACTGGAAGTGACACTGTGGCTCAAGTGATAGAGCACTAGCCTGGAGCCCAAAGAAGCTCAGGGATAGCACCTGAACTCAGGCCCTGATTTCAAGCCCCACAATTGACAAAAAAAAATTGAGCCATGTATAGTATGGCTTTTGGTAATTGAGTAACATTCTACCATATTAACACAATTCATTAAAAGTTGTAACAATTTAGGGTTTATGTAATGCTGTGACATATCACTTGAGGTTTATCCATTCATTGATTGATGGTCACGTAGGTTATTTTCACCTTGTGGCTATTGTAAACAATACTGCTACCAACATTGATGCACCATTGTTGGTGTAGATGTATGGTTTAATTCTCTTGGATTGAAAAGCTTATTTATTCTTGCGTCTCTGACATCAACGGAGCCAAAGAAGAGCCTAAAACCTCATTGCATACATTAATTCAGAGAAGGATGGTGAGGAGGACAGGAAGCTGGCTGGAGAGGCACCAATGGGTACTTAATCCTTTGCAGGATGACTTTTAACTTGATGGAGATCTTTGATGGCCATTGTTTGCCTTGAGTCTTCTAATTCTCCAATGCAGACCACTTCATCTCTCCTCAATGGAATCAAGTCCTCACTTCCAAACAAACACACTTCCCAAACAAACTCCATACCCAGAGGGTCTAGGGCTCAGAAGGGAATTCTCCCAGCTCAGAGGCTGGGAGGAGTTTCAAGGACTTCGCTTTTGTCACTTTTATTGTCTCAGCTCCAGTTCTCAGAACTCTCTGTGTAGGAAGCAGGGAATTATATTGTGCCCTGATACCATCCTATCCAGGCACTTGGGCTTGCTTCGCATCTGTCACCAGGTCTGTGTGCGACTAAGAACCTGAGAGGCAGAGGTTGCTCTGGACATCTAGTAAGTTGAACAGTAGGAAATCACCAACATTTATTCATTTTTCACCTCTGAAAGAGGCCAGTTCATGTGGTTTATGGGGTTCAATCTGCTAGTCTCTGGCATTCCTCTCAGCGGCCTAGATCCAGTGTTCTGGGAAAGCTTTCTGTCCCTCCAGGCAAGCTGCAATTCCTCCCTAGACAACTGTCTAGCAGCCTTTCTCCAGTTCTTCAATCTAGTGCCCAGAAGCATGCACACAATAGCCAGGAAAAAAGAGCACTGAACTGGGAGTCAGGAGACCTCAGCCCAGTCCCTGAACGCAGACACACTGCCTGTCTCCGCAATGGCCTCCCTGCCTCCAGCTTGCCCCCTTCTCTCCATGACGCTTCCAACCACCTGGATTTCAAGTCTCACATTGGCATCATGTGCCCTTGGACTCCCTGTCCTGACTGGAAGATAAGGCTTTAGCTTCTATTGCCATGCCTACCTGCTGACAGTCCCCTGCAGACTCCTATATTCTGGTCACTTTTCCTCTTCCATGTGGAAGACCTCATATACCTCCTTCTCTCCGTGCCCTGCAAAGAGCCATTCCTCTACTGGCATCAGCATCAGTATTTTAATGGCTTTTTTTTTTTTTTTTGCATATTTGTCCTTGTCTGTCTCCCTCTCTGGACTGTTGGCTCCTAACAGTATCATCTAACTTCACCCTTTAATCTTTGATGTGAAACTCTTGTTTAACAGAACTAAGCAGGCAGGCTATGACTCATTCTCTCCATTTGCTGAAAATGGTCCTAAAAGATCCCATCTTGCCCCTGGGTCTTCTTTGAGCCTCATTTGTTCCCCCTGGGAGCAGAAGAGAATTGATTTTAAGGACCTTTGCAATTCCCATGGATTAAGAAACACGTCTGAATCCTTAGCCTTCCAGAGCTGAGCTCAGGGATCCTTCCTGGATTCAGGGGAATGGAGGGGTCCGGGTGGGGGTGGGGGAGTGAGAGGGGGAGGAACTGACTAAAGGCAACGTTCCAGGGAATGTTGAGAACGATTATTTTCTGTTCTTTGAAAAATGTTCTATTTTAATTCAGGGAATGTTTGCAGCGCACCCACGTAGCACATGCCAGTGCTGGGCAAAGTTGTAAATACTAGCTTCCCTGGATTTTCTGAGATAGCTGCATTCCCTAGAAGTGCCTTGTCCAAACCCCGTTCCCCTATAATTGTTCGCTGGCTCCAGGAACTGTGGGTGCACTGGGCGAGCCTTGGTCCCGGTCCCCAAATGTGTCCCTGCTGCCCAGTTGGCATGCACCTCTGAGCCAGCAGGGAGGCCCAGAAGCTCAGAGCCTCGGCCGGGGCGCCCTCTGGCGGCGGCGCTCGGTAACTACCACCCGGCGGGGAGCTGGCGAGGGGAAGGGGGAGGGAGGAGGGAGGAGGAGGCGCGGGCAGGGGAGGAGAGGAAAAAAGTTGCGCTGGGAAGTTTGGAAAGTTGGGAAGTGGCTGCTGCGGGCTTCGCCTCCCTCCGCGCGTGTGTGAGGGAGCCGGGCGAGCGAGGGAACGGGGAGAGCAGCGAGCGAGCGAACGAACGCCTGCCATGCCCATCAGACTCCGCCTCGGCGCGCCCGGGCGCGGAGCTCGCCCGGACTCCCCGCGGCCCGGCCCGGCGAGGCGCGGCCCCGGCCTCCCGCCCCCCGCTCCGGGTCCTCCCCTCCCCCCCACCCCGGCGGCCCCAGCCCCCCGCCCGGCCCGGCTCCGCGCCGCTCTCCCGCCCTCCTCTCTCCCTCCCTCCCGGCCGCAGAGCAGCATGGCGGAGCCCGGGCAGCGGCCGCGCGGCCGCCCGCCGCCCCTCTGAGCCGGGCTGGGGGGGGGCAGCCGGGCGCCCCAGCCCCGACCCCCCGCCCCGCCGCGCCCTCCGCCGCACTTGTCCCACCGCGCGCCTCCTAGAGCGCCGCGCACCCCTGGGATCCTGGTGCGCCCCGGGTGCCCAGCGTAACCCCAGACCCTCACGAACTCCGGGATCTCGGTACCGCCTCCCCTCCAGAAACCCCGCGTACCCCCTCCCCCGAGCCCTAGCGCGGCGCCCCCGGCACCCTCACGCGCCCCCGGGATCCCCGCGCGCTCGCAGAATCCCCGGGCTCGGCCAACCGGGCTGCGCGCCCTGGAGAGGGGCCCCGCCCCGCCCCGAGGGTCCCCCTCTTCCAACAGACGGAGCCCCGCCCCAGAGGGACCCCCAGGTCCGAAAGGGACAGCCAACCACGCCCCAGCAGGGCTCCCAGCATCTCGCAGCTGGAGCCTCGCGCTCCAGAGGACCCTCGGTGCCCAGCTGGGGGCTCCCCGCCCTACTGAGGGGACGCCGCCCGGGAGAGTCCCCCCGCGCCCCGCGGGCCCCTTGCAGGATGCACGCCGCCCTGGCGGGGCCGCTGCTCGCTGCCCTCCTCGCCACCGCCCGCGCCCGCCCGCAGCCCCCAGACGGAGGACAGTGCCGGCCGCCCGGATCGGTGAGCGAGCGCCTGCCCCGCCACTCTCCCGCCCGTCCGGCCGCCCCGGCACCCCGGCTCGTGGCGGGCAGTGGTCTGGCTTCTCATTCTCTCACCCACCTTAGTCCAAACCCGTCCCACCCCGGTCCTGTGCGGGCACAGCTTGGGCACCCTTCCTTCACGTCTCCTTGCCCGGAGCAAGAGCCCAGATTGGCGCTCCCTCTCCCTCTCTCCCTGGGGTTCCTTCTCCACTCGCTAACGCTTTGGGGCTCTCTTCTTGACTTCTGGTCCTGCTTGGGTTTTTTCCCCCTCTTTGCCCCTTTCGGGCTCCCTTCTGACTTTTATCCTCTCTTTAAACGCTTCTTTCTCTCCTCTCTTCCTATATTTCTGGCACTTTTCTCCGACGTTCAGGCACACTCTGCCCCTTCCCAGGCCTCCCTCCCTCTCCCTGCCTGCAGGTTCTGAATGAGGGCACGCTGTCCTCACGTGCGGGTTCTCACTTCTCTGCAGCCCAGGCCCCAGCACCTACCACCTCAAGTGCTCCCGAGTCCCCGAAAAGGGGAAGAGTCTAGGGGAGAGATAAAGGAAACACTAGGACTTGTTGGCTTAGTGTTTCCTTGGGGGAGGAGGGTCAAGTAATTACATTCTCTTCCCTAAACCAGGAATCCCTTGATTTTCCCCAGAACCTTTCTGCAGAGATCCTGAGTTGGAGGCCTAGAGACTGGGGAAGTTGCCTAGGGTCTTCCTGTGCTGTCCTGTGACAGGGAATTAGTTGACCTTGGGTAAGGTGCACAACTAGCAAGCTAGCTTGCCTTGGGCAGAAGCAGGGAGGACTTTAGCTAGCTAGCATGGCACTTATCCCCAATATGCTAAGATTTACAAGTTTTGTTACTAAAGGAAGGAATGGTTTTCTTCAATCTTCAACCTGTGTTTTTTTTTTATTTGTGCCACAATCAGACAGGAAAAAAAAATGTTTAAGTTTACAAGTGGTCAGTGGAGCTTTTCGGAACAGAAAAAGAGCTTGCCTGACAGAAATATTAGTCTCCTGCCCCTGCCCTTTACCCTGGTCCAACTCTGGATGTGGAGAAATGGCTCTGGTGTTGCATGTCCATGCATCCACCTATGCGCGCGTGCGCGCTCACACACACACACACACACACACACACACACACACACACACACCTTTAGTGGGAGTTAGGTCACAGGAAATGACAATTGGGGATGGAGACCAGGTATGCATTTTTGGTGGAGGAATCTGGAAAGCACCCAGAATATGTACATTTCTTGGGATTAATTCTATGGAACACTCTCTTCCCAACCCAGAAATTGAGCTTTGACTTGGCTTTGCAAGGTTTTAAAGCACTTTCTCATCTATGGGCTCAGCTAGTGGAGCAAAGTAAGTTAACACCCCTCCCAAACCTGCCCTGCAAGAAGAAAACCCATATCCACCCCGATGAACGGGAAAAGTAGCTGTTGAAATCAGTGTGCTATTTTTAATAGGTGTTCTGCTTTCAAAGTGCTTTTGGCATGTGTCTTCTAATGGTTGTATTTAAAAGTTATATGACTTCCTCCCTTCTTGCCAGAGCAGGACTCTCTGTCGTCCACCCCCCCCCCCAGCCCCACCCTCCACATGAAACACCACCCAGTGAAGGTTTGGCTTGGCCAAGCAATGAGTGTTCTCAGGTGGTGTGGCAGTCCTTGGCTCTCCCAGTGAAAGCAAGTCATAATGAGAGCCTCTCTTCATTGCCCACTTTCTCAGTGCCTGGTGCTGCTCTGGGGGCTTCTCACAGCATAGATGGTATCGTTATTTTGGCATCAGTACTGGGACTTGAACTCAAGGCCTGGGCATTGTCCCCTAGATTTTTTTTTTCCACACAAAGCTAGTACTCTACCACTTGAGCCACTGCTTTACTTCCAGATTTTTTTTTAACTGGTTAATTGGAGACAGGAGTTTCCTGAACTTTCCTGCCCAGGCTAGTTTTGAACTATGATCCTCAGATCTCATCCTCCTGAGTAGCTAGGATTACAAGCATCAGCCCCCAGCCCCCAGCAGCCCTTGCTCCTTGGAACAGCTGGAGTGGGTCTCTCTGCCTTCTGTCCTCACTTCCCCCTGCTACCCATCTAACCCTGGTGTGGCTCTGCTTCCTTGTGCCTCACTGCCTGGCCTCTCCTCTCCCCCTTGCAGCAGAGGGAACTGAACTCCTTCCTGTGGACTATTCGGCGCCATCCTCCAGCCTACCTGTTTGGCACCATTCACGTCCCCTACACCCGAGTCTGGGACTTCATCCCGGACAATTCCAAGGCAGCGTTCCAGGCCAGTGCCCGTGTCTACTTTGAGCTGGACCTGACTGACCCCTATACCATCTCGGCTCTGGCCAGCTGCCAGTTGCTGCCACACGGGGAGAACCTGCAGGATGTCCTGCCTCATGAACTCTACTGGCGCCTGAAACGCCACCTGGACTATGTGAAGCTGATGATGCCCTCATGGATGACACCTGCACAACGCGGCAAGGGTCTGTACGCCGACTACCTGTTCAATGCCATTGCGGGCAACTGGGAGCGCAAGAGGCCAGTGTGGGTGATGCTCATGGTGAACTCGCTCACGGAGACTGACGTGCGCTCTCGTGGGGTGCCCGTGCTGGACCTCTACTTGGCCCAGCAGGCTGAGAAGATGAAGAAGAGTACAGGGGCCGTGGAGCAGGTAGAGGAGCAATGCCATCCACTCAACGGGCTCAACTTCTCCCAGGTAGGCATGTGTGTGCCAGCTCTGAGCAGCAGCCTCAGGACCTTGCTCCTCTGCTCTGAGTCTGTGTTTTGTTTGTTTTTGCCCTCCAGCAGGCAGCCAGAGTCAGATCCTTTCCCCAGAAGGAGAGCTTCATTCTGGCCCTGGGACAGCCCTGGGCCGCTGTGGTAGGATGCGAGGAAACTGGTGTGTGCCAGAGTTTGTGTGTTTTCTTCCATTTCAGTGATTCCCTGTTGGGGATATCCACTCTCCACCTGCTGTGCTTGCCTGAGCAGAAAGAATTTCCCTGGGAGCATCAGAGAGATCCAGAACAAAAAAAAAAAAAATAAGAGGGGGGAGTTGCCAGTTTGTATCAGTCTTTCTGCAGGCCTGGCGTCTCCTGAGCAGGAGGCTGCTGTGTCTGTGTGGAGAAGGATTTGGTGCCCGGAGTGCACTGTGCTGAGTGGATAGCATCAGGTGTTGTGGTTCTGGCCTATACTAGCACTGATTTGCTATTTCTACAGAATTCCCCCGTGCTCTGCGACCCTCGGACTGCCTCCCTGAGACTTGGGAGAAAGTCAGCAAAAGAGACGTTGGGGGTTAATAATTTCAGAGAGATGTGTTTGCTTTCAAGCTGACAATTCTGATTTCTGAACCTTAAGGTTGGGGGCGGGGGCAGGGAGGGATAGGGAGTGGAAATGGCAGGGAGAAGGGAGAGGCTTACGAGGTTTAAAGTCTCTGGCTGCCAGAAGCCCTATCCAGTAAAATGTCATTAAAAGCCTGTTTCCATGGGCAGAGGTCACCCATAACTCACTGGTCCCAAACTTAACTCCGAGGCCCTAGGGACAGTGAATTCACATCTGTGCCTTGAGAACTGAGCTGTGGATCCCAGGTTGGTGGTTCCTTCTCCAAGGAGGTCCTAAGACAGGCAGATGCCCTGATTGAGGGGTGGCTCTGAGACAGCCCTGAACTTTACCACTGGAATCAAACCTGCTAGTTTGCTGCTGAGATGTTGCAAGCTTTTCACCAGGGAAACCATGGCAGAAACTGATCCCCCCTCCTCACCCCATACACACACATACACACTCCTCTTCCAAGATCTCTGGCCTTTGTTTTTCCAGGGGAAATGCAATATTGTCCCCAGGGAGGTAAGAAGCCAGATTGATTTGCCGGCCAAATGAAAGGCGGGTTTGTTGGTTCTCCTGCTGGCTCTCCCATAACTGTGGAGTCCTTACCCAGAGGGCCCCAGTGGCAGGGATATTGGGGCAGTTAGTCACGCCCCGCAGGATACTGACTATGCCTGACTCCTTCTCCACGGGGGAAAATCCTGTGTATTCTCTACCCCAGTGCTGAATTCTCTGAACATAGCGGCTTGCTCTCTCTGAAGTCAGTTTTCCCTTGCCAGCCTCACGAGCTAATATTATCTGTGTCAAGCTCTTCCCCCACTCCACCCCCAGCCCTCACGGCCCATCTTATTTTGGGGGCAGTTTTGTGGGAGGCCTCCCTGCTCAGAGACCTCATGTCAGGGCTCAGTCTCTTCTTTAAGTTAGGGAGGTGGGGGATCCACCATGGGTCTCAACACTCCTCTTTGTACCAACCACAGAGAACCCAACCAGGGCTGAAAGGGAGCGCTCCCTGGTTAAACAGCCCCTAGCTTTAATCTGTCTCTCTTAAAACAACAAAACTATCTTTCTTCAGAGGGGTCTGGAAATGCGGCTGTTCAACCAAATGATGGCTCTGGTAGGTTGAAAACATTTGCTGCAAAGTGAGCTTATGTTTTAGGAAAAGTTTCTGAGAAGCCATTCATCGGCCGGCAAGGAGCCCACTGACAGTCTCTCCAAAGCCTATGTTTGAAGATCAAACAGACTCCAATTTCTGTTGTTGCAAAAACACACCCACCCTATCACCAGCCCAGGCCCGCTCACTCATCAAATTGTTCTTGGGTCCAGCTTTTCCATAGCACCCAGAATGCAAGTCCTAAGCAAAAGAAAACAGGAATTTCTCTTAGTTCCTAATCTAAACATCCTTCACCACCTGCCCAAGCATCTGACAGCATCAATTTGTCCTGCTGTCATTTTGGAGGGAGGGGATGAAACCTCTTCTTCTGTCCTCCTGGGCAGGCTTGGACTAACTGGGAAAGGTGGGATTCTAGAACCTTCTTCCCCAAGTCAGAAATGCAACCACTTCTCAGTAAATTGCATGCACGCATGCACAGTTTGATAGGAACATCTGTGATGCATTATTGCACCGAAATATCTGTTAAGTGCATTAGTTTTTTTCCCCCTCTCTTTCCTCGAAGCATTACTGTTATTGCAAAATATTTGAATTGGGGTAGGGAGAGAACAGTGAGAGGAAGGTGAGAAAAAGAAGCCTTTTAAGGCTGCCACTCTGGGAAAGTCTGAGATTTTCATTTCATGATTTTTTTAATGTCTCTTTTTTTCTGGATAGAAATACCATGTGTTTGCTTGTTAAGTGGATAAAGAAAGATTAAATTTGGGGACGTCAGAGGCTACAGAGACCACGGGAAAGCTTGTACGGTTGGTGTCTGATCTGCTAGCGTAGCTTGGAAGATCAGGCCAACGGATAGGTTTTTTGACCTCTAATTTTAAAATAAACTGAAGGCGCTAGATCCAATATCAGCATGAGTTTTGCCATGTGACCTTGGGCAAGTCAGTTCCTCTCCCTGAGCCTTTTTTTCTTTGCCTGTGAAATGAGACACCAAGATTAGGTCATCTTTCAAGCCCCTTCCAGCCCTGACATTCCATAGGCTGATTCTAATCAATTCCACGTGCCAGACACCCAGCAGGAAACTCCGCATGCCTTTCCATTTCATTGAATTCCCTGGATAACTTTACTATGGCTTTCTAAGGTGGGCACCAGAGAAGTTGAGTGACTTGCCCAAGGTCACATGGCTAACAAGGAACAGAGCCAGACTCTTAAATGAAGGATGTGCTCTTCCTGCTACCCCATGCTGTTTCTTAGACTTCCTCCTGGCCAGGTGCTTGATACCCTCCTGTAATTTATCCTGTAGTCCTCTTCTGCCTTTAGGACTTGAGAGCTGAACATTTTCTTTCTTGAGGAGTTTGTACTTACAGAGAAATCATTTCCTTTGACTCTAGATCTTGAGTAATGATACGTAGGCAGGCCTTTTAAAGATTTTCCTGCTGTGTTATCACTAGCTCAGTTTGGTGGGTAAGATGTAGAGAACTGTATATAATCTTAGGCAAGATTTAACGTTTCTGGCTGTTGGATGGATGGAGTAATAGTTAACCAGCCTTTCACAGTCAAGCTGGTTTTGTGAATACACGAAGATACTACCTTTAGAAGGTTGTAGAGAAAGTGAACGACTTCCTAGCTATGATTGACAGAGTATGATCAAGGAAAGGGAAGAGGAGGGCTGCTCTTGAAGCATCCATGCCTTTCTTCCAGCCTCCATATTCACTGTCCCAACCTTGGCTCAACAAAATGAAGATTTGTTCAACTGGGACATGTTGGCACACCCTTTACTCTTGGGGTCCTGGAGACCTGAGCCTTAGGACAACTGACCTGAGGATATTCTTGAAATCTGTAGATCCTAATCAACTTTGCCTGCTACTTCCAGGGACTGGTACTAGCTTCTACTACTCCCTCTGGGGTGCCTCAATCCTCCCCATCCACCCTACTCCTGTACACTAGAGACTATGTTATGAGGTCCTTCCAGGGAACGTAGGAGAACAAAGATCCTCTACACTGTATTTTAACCAACATATGCTGGCACTCACCAAAGTGTATAGAGTTGGAACTCTAGAGCATGTCTGCCAAAAGTGTCCAAAATGTTTATAAAATTTACAAGTCTCCTACAAAGGGAGATGGAAACCACAAAATCAGGTGCTGAGGTTTGTCTCTGCACAACACGTGGCATTGGCTCTCACAAGTATATTCTCTTACCCTGCTGGCAGTGCTACAAGGTTTATTGTCATACCTATTTTTAAAGACAACAAATTGAAAACATTGAATCATTTGGCTTTGATCACATAGACAGGCCAAGTGGACTCAGGGTTCAGACTCAGGTCTTTCCCCTGCTAAAGGCCAACCTTTTCAGGTATCTGAAAAATGGATTTGTTTTGGTATTTAAGAGTCAGATGGCATTAGCTGGTATATTTGTATGTGTGGGTATGTGGACTGGTAGATTAGTGTGCACGTGAAGGGAGATCTTCATTTTTTACTAAAAAAAAGTAAAATAGATAATTGAAAAGTGCTGAAACTAGTTTTCTGCCTGGCTCATAAATTGGATCTGAAGGTAATTCTAAAGTATGAGTTTCTGAAGACATTTTGGGCACCAACCACCTCCCTGGAATGCATCTTCAGCTTTCCATGGGACCTCTGTAAAGATGGCTAAGTCTGCACCGTTGAATTGAGAAAAGTCTCCTCTATCTATACTCTGGGGAAACAGTAGGTCTTAGTAAATGCACAATAAATACTTGCAGAATGGATGAGTTAATAAGCAATAGTCAGCAACCATGATATAACCATCCTTAATTCCCTTCTATCATCCAGCCCTGTGTGCGTGTGTGCACACGCGCGTGCAAATGCCACCTAGGCCTGGAAGGAATCTGAGTATAAGCACGCCAAGCGGTATGCCCAGGGGCTTCCTTACCATGTGACAGACATTCTCTGAGCAGCTCCACACCAGAGGGTGAAATTAGACATTGATTCAGAAATGGGCGCATGCTTCAAGAAGCACATGAAAGAACAGGGTCTCTCTATGAAGCATGAAGAATCAGGGACAAGACAGGCTGTCATTTGAGTGTTCTGTGCCTTCACTTCCACAACTATGAAACAAGGCTAGTCATGGCCACCTCCCAGGGAGTAACTGCAATGTCCACTCTCAGCTAATATACTCTTGGAAGGCCACGATGCTGTTGTTCCCCATCCTCTGTTCCCAGGCCCTGCATGGGCACAACCAATGAGCTTTCTGGTTGAATGAGCGAGGATATGAAGGAAGGAGCAGGGCTTGGATGACAGAGAAGATCAAGCCTGGGCAG